AACGCCTTCCAACCCCACACAAAGCTCCCTCCCAGCTCCTGCTTACTCTCTCCATTCTCCCCAGGGCCTGCCCTTCTGCCAGGGTTGACCCTCAGCCCCATCAGAAGAGAGCACAGACCATTCAAGTCCTGGACTCCCAGGGAACTCCCCTCTACCCCTGTGTTGTGTGGCAGACAGAAGGAGATCACACATGGGATTTTTGAGGTCAAACAGATACAGGTTGGGATCCCCCACTCAGGCACACAGACACACCTGCTGGGAACAGGACATTTCTCCCTCACAGGCATGGACATGGTACAGAGGAGAAGATGGTCCTTGAGAGGTGCCTTATTCACGCCTGGGCTCAGTTTCCCTCCCTGGACGATTTGAGTTCAGGACTCAGCCTCATCTCCAGCTCTCAGTCTGACCATTCATCTCCATCCCCAACAATTCTGAGAGTCCTCCAACTCCTATCCTGTGTTCCCCAGACTACACTAGGTTGGGCTGGATCCTTCTACTTGGTCCCTCACCTGGGGCATACAAAGTTCCCCATGATTATGTTAGCACTGCACCACTAGGGATGCCAGCCCAGCTAAGGCTGTGGCAGAGAGGGGCCTCAGAGGGACCAGGCCAAAGCTAAAACAAAGCAGGCCCACCTGAGGTCAAAGTTGGCATGATCTCTCTATGGAACACTTGACCCCAGGTCCAAGCTGAACAGGAGCAGTTCAACTCCCTCATTTCATACCCAGTGGCTTCCCTACATCACACACCAAACTCAAGACATGCTAGCTCCCTGGCAATTCAGCAGTTCAGCCCTTGGCAGCCCGTCTCTCTCCAAGGGCTGTGAGCCCCCGGGAGAAACCTCCCTGATGGGCTCAGAACCAACAGTAAGTGTGGGAATTGCTTTCTCCAATCAAACAATAAATTCTGTCTGAATACTTAATAGATTACAGACACTATAACCTAACTTTGGACTCATGCATATGCTAGGGTCTCAGGCAGGCACACAGTTACAGCCCCAGCTAGCACACTCGCGTGGGCCTGGGAAGCCACACCTGTTCTTGCGTTCAAGGTGGGTAGAGAGGTGGGTTCCCAGGCTGACATGCTGGCATATTGATATGGAATACTGGTAGACCACGCCTGGGATGCTTGCATGTACTTGGGTACCAGATAGGCAGGCAGGGCCCCAGGCCAGAATGCCAACACCACCAAACAGCAGGCTCAGAAAGTCTGGGCTTGAAAATCCATGCTCCAATAGACACAGGCTCTATGGATTGCTCAGGGAATAGCATATGAGAAAACTGCTCAGAAAGTACATTACATGTAAGGAATAACTTCTGGAAAACTTACACCAACCAGGCCACTACATTTGCAGGTAAGCAAAGGGGCTGAACTGAGCAGTTTGCAGAAGGGAACTGGAGGCACTTTCTGGGTCAGACCAATGCACCAACCCACGTGGAGAGCTGAGCTATGCTGGTTAGCATCAACCACCAACAACCACCTCCCACTGACACGCATGAAATCTAGGGCTGGGTGCCTGTCTGGCAGGGTTAGAACACAGTAGTCACCAGTGAGTGTCAGAACAAGGAACAGGTAATGTCAGGCTGGGCCTTGGCACCAACTGGCACATAGAAGAACCAGGTCATGGGACATATTCTGTGGGGGATATGTGGACCTAATCCTGTAGGACTGCAATACTCACTGGTTTGCTCAAAAATGATGACAGGCCAAGCTAGGCATGACCATGGAAATTACCAACATGCATGGGTGCTGGGGTTGGAACAGGCTGGGCTGGTTCAATTTGCAGCACTCCACAGGCACACCCATGAACTAGGTGTGGGGTGGGCCAGTTCACAACATCCACCAGCACACACAAAGGCCAAAACTGGGACGATAGACTTTTCCAGATAGAGGCCTAGGACTCACTGGCACATATGATATGGCACATACGGGAGTGGGCTTGCTAGGGAGCTTGGGGAACTCCCTTGGTGGGCTATCATTCCTGCTGGTGAGCACATGAGTCAGGCAGGGTATTGGTCAAGCCAGAAGAGGCTGCTCCACTTGCTGGTAAATGAGTGGACTGGATTCTAGGGGTGAACCGAGCAGGGCCAAGCCAAACAGTAGCACATTGGCATGTGCAGGAGCCAGGATAGGGTGCAGGCCATGCCATAGGCTGTCACACCTACCAGTTTGCATGAAATCTGGGGATGAGGACAAGCTGGTCCAACCCAGGCATCAGCATCCATTGGCAAGGGTCAAGACAGGGGTAAGGCCATGCCAGGCTGGGTCTGAGCAACTTCCAAATTATAGAATATCTGTGTCTAGGAGTAGGACAGGCAGGGGAGTAAAGGGACGCTGCTGTACAGTTGTGGTTCCCACTGGTGAGCACAAGAGCCAGCAATGTGGGTAGGCACAGTTGAATATGCTATGGCAATAATCGGCATGTGTGTGAGTGGGGCTTAGGGTATGCTAGACTGGGTGAGGTTTCAACGCTCACTGGAGCTCGTGAGAGTTAGAGTTTATATAGGATGGGTTGTGCTAGGTCACAGCATCTTCTGATCTACATAAGGGCTGAATCTAGGAGTGGGCCAGGCATGGATGAGCTGTAATACCCACTGCAGGAAAATACAATGGATGTGGGCTGGCCTGGCAAGGTCACAGTGCCTGCTAGTGAATGTGAGAACTGGAGGTGGGTCAAGTCAAACATATACTGATGTGCATGACATCCATGTCTGGAAGCTGGTCCAATAAGGGAGCTGGGAGAACTCTCCTGTGAAAATGTTGTCCTGGTTAGTGACCATGAGAACCAACACTGAGTAAAGTCTGATGGGCCCGGCACAGTGACCTAGCTGCTATAGTCCTGCCTTGAATGTACCAGGATCCTATATGGGTACTGGTTCTAATCTTGACAGTCCCACTTCCAGTCCAGCTCCCTACTTGTAGTCTGAGAAAGCAGGCAAATACAGACCAAGCCTTGGATTCTGCACCCACATGGGAAACCTAGAAGTTCCTGGCTTCTGTCTTTGGATTGGCACAGCACCAGCCGTTGTGGTCACTTGGGGGTGAATCATCAGATGAAAGATATTCCTCTCTGTCTCTCCTCCTCTCTGTATATCTGACTTTCCAATAAAAGTAAATGAATCTTTTTTTTTTTTAAAATTACCAGAGTGTTATTCCATCTCTACCCAGTTGGAATGGCTAGGATCAAAAGGCAACAGGTGACAAGTGCTGGCAAGGAAATAAAGACCAGGCAACACTTAAGCACTGTTGATAGAAATGAGACTTGGGAACATCATCATGCAGAACAGGATGTAGGCTCCTCAAGAATAACAGAGCAACCATTTTTGGTTGGGTTGAACTAGGCTTCAATGTCCATTGACATGTGCGAGAGCTAAATGGGATGTGGGACAGACTGGACAAGCCTGCGGTACATACTGGCAAGCATGGGGACCAGGGTAGGGGGCAGAACTGGTAGGAGTTTTGGGGAGTCGCCCAAACTAGGCTGCAGCTCCAACTGGTTTGCATGAGGACTGAGTATGAAGTGGGTAGGATCGAGCTGGACTACAACACCCATTGGTTCACGAGGAAGACGGGGCTAGAAACTGAACGGACCCAGCAATCGCAACGACCAGCATATGCATAAGCTGATTGGTGTGACGAACGGTATTGGAGTCTGTACTAGCAAACTCACACAAGAATCAGATCTGAGATCATCTCAGATGAAGTTTCTTTGGAAATCCCTCCAACTGAACTGCTGATCTTGGAACCCCAAACATCAAGAGACTGTCAGCCAGTGGACTCTGAATAGGTTTCATTGCGGTTGGGATGGTGAGATGGGCAGCAATCCAGAACTGATGAACTATCAAAACTGTTTCAGCTGGACCCTTGGAGCGCGCCTCATGTTGGGGATCGGGGATGGGTGGGAGGTTGGGTGGGGCTCTTCCCTTTATTACTCCCCTAACCCCAGATACAGGCAAAAATTATTATATTAGTGTGGAAACAATAATATTACCCACTTTCACCCTGTAGCCCTTGACTCTTTGTACCCCTATCAACTAAGATTATTAAAAATTTTTTAATAAACTAAAATATTTTAAAAAAGGAATAACAGAGCAACCATTTGACCCACCTTTTGGGTGTGTATCTCAAAAAAAAATGAAAACAGTGTATGACAGAAATACTGCGCTCCCACACACACATTGTAGCACTAGTCATAACAGTGAAACAGGACATCCCTCTAGAACTCCATCATAGGAAAATGGACAGCGTGTGATACAGATCTATACACACACTCTGAGTAGAATATTAGTCATGAAAAAGAATGAAATTCTGATATGTGCATCATGCACACAACTGTATGTTAACTGAAAAAAGCCAGATGCAGAGAAATGTCAAATGTTTTCTCTCATAACTGAATTTAAGAGTGATTACTAGAAATAGGGGACATAAATCTAATATGGATGGAAAAGTGCAATGCTTGAAAGCAAAAATTCCTGGTGTTCCACAGAAGAGCTGGGCTGCTAGAGTCTCTGACAAAGAAAATTCCAGCTCTTGGCTGCAAGGCCACACATACAGTATGTGAGATTTGGTGAATAAAAATCTCCTGGTGTCAGAATACCTTGCCATCCACTACCAGGACCATTTCACGAAGGTCTGTTCTCAGATATAGTATTATCCAGCAGGCCAACAGAAGTTCTTTCCAATTGCAGAATACTGGCTCCCTGTCTCAGATCTACAGAGCACTGTCCTCTTGGGACATGGACCACAGTCTTCCATGCGGACTGTGCTACCACAATAGCAAGTATGATTAAAAACATATGATTAAGGTAACTCCCATGCACACTGAGGGAAATTCAATGAGATAACATCTACATTCATGTAGACATGTTTTAATTTAGTGAGGTATGGGTTAGTAGCTGTTTCAAAGAAACCTTAACTAAAGAAGCACCACAAAACCAGAGGAAACATGAGGTCACTGAGCCCACCTAGCTCCTCCCCCTCCCCAGGAGCTAAGAGAGAGTAAGGAGGAAGTGCACCTGCAGCTCCAAGCTGGGCAGCCTTCCTGAGAAGATGCAGCCACTCCTGCTCCTGCTGACCCTCTTCCTGTCCCTCAGGGCTGAGGCAGGTGAGTGACCACCCCAAACTCACATTCCTGACCTGCCAGAGACACAGACCTCCTGTCCCTCCTGCCCCTCCTGCCCCTCCTGCCCCACATGGCACAGCTTCTATTGGCAATGTGATGCTGCCCAGCTCCAGGGCCACCCACATCCGACAATGAGACTGGCTCACTGAGGGCAGGAGTGCTAGAGCAGAAGGCTATTGTTTGCAAGGGCAGGAAACTGGCAACCAGGAGGTTTTGGAGACGCATGGCAGAAGATGGGAAATGGAAAGGAAAAATATTGCTTTTTCAGGAGAGGGCAAAGGGAGCCTGTTTCAGAGCTGCTCTTGCCCCATCTGCTCAGCAGAAGCCCATGCTAAGCTGACCCCAGAGTGCTGGCAGCCCCTCCCTACCTTGTGCTCATGCCACAGCTTCAGCCCTCCATCCAGTCCTGCTCTGCTTCCTGGTCCTTTGGTGGCTCCTCTCCATGAAATGATGAAAACCCATGTGGATGACCACAACTTCTACAATTTCCAGAACCCCATGAGATTTACCCTCATAACCCTCATGCATGTAGGAGCCATTCCTTCATAAGGTCAATGTCAGCCCTAACAGGACCTGGCTGGAATTATGTCCACTTCCTTAATTTCTGCTCCTGCCCATGTGAAAACAGCACCATCCTAAACATCACCAGAATAGGCCAAGGGTTTTGGAAGCTCATGGGAAACATAAAAATAGTCAGGAGACTCTGGTGTCACTGTCCCTGAACAGCTGTTCTTACCTTAAATGATGTGTGCAAAAATGTTTCCTAGACCAAGACCACCTTTTAGAGAAGGAGATTGAGGGTCCTCACCCCCAATCCTCTGCCTTCTACTGAAGGCTCCCAGCATTGCTGAAATCATCTCAAGCATGTATGCCCCCCACCAGTGGGTGCATATAATCAGGCCAGCTCTTTTCTCAGGAGAGATCATCGGGGGACACGAGACCAAGCCCCACTCCCGTCCCTACATGGCCTTTATTCAGTACTGGAATGGCTCAGATAGGAAGAGGTGTGGAGGTTTCCTGATCCGTGAGGATTTTGTGCTGACAGCTGCACACTGCCAGGGAAGGTGAGCACTAGGACACAGACCACTTCTCCAGGAAAAGCTTCTTTTTCCCAATAAGCTCCATGTGTCCTTTATGTACAGAAGGCTTCCTAAAAGGTAAGATAGAATGGGGTGGTGGGGGGGTCTCTTAGGAAAATGTTAGCTTGGTGCCAGTCACCTTGCTGGCAGAGTGATGAACGCGGCCATCCTGAGAGCTAGGTGCATGCTCTGGCGTCAGCAATTCCATATTTCTGTCTCTGGGTTAATGACCCCAGATAGCCACTGGCCATCACCAACAGTTACAGCATTCCACCTCGACTGCTGAGATGCAGACAGCACTGAAAGCTCAGCCCTAGAAGCCCCCACGCCCTGGATTCCACCCTCAGCCACAGCCCTCTTCACATCTGGCAGCAGCCAGCTGCTCTTCACAACTCCGGGGCTGCATCTCCTGTGAGTCCACCGTCTCCCTTCCCTTACTCTGTTCCCTTACAGCCCTATAAATGTCACCCTGGGGGCCCACAACATCAACAAGCCAGAGAAGACATGGCAGGTCATCCCCGTGAGAAATGCCATCCCCCACCCAGAATACAACCGCAAAGACTACTCCAATGACATCATGTTACTGCAGGTAGGACTCCTCCCATGCTCTTGTTCTCCCACATCCAGTTGCTACCCTTCTTATTGTGCCCTACTCCTTGCCTCTTTTCCATCCTAATAACTTTGCCTGTTCCAGTGTAACAGAGGACACAGGAGGAGGCATAGATTCATAGTGATGTCCAGGCCCTTGTAGACATTTGCTTATCTGATTTTTCCTAACTCTTACCCATCAGCTGAACACAAAGGCCAAGCAGAACAAACTTGTGAAGACCATTAACCTGCCCAAGCGCAAGACCCATGTGAGGCCAGGGCAGGTGTGCCATGTGGCCGGCTGGGGAAAGACAACCCCTAACGGCAAACTGTCAGACACACTGCGCGAATTGGAGCTGACAGTGCAGAAGGACGAGATTTGCAAGTCCTCCTATCCCACTTACAAGAATGATATCGAGATGTGTGTAGGGGACGAGAAAACAAGAAAATCTTCCTTTCAGGTGAGACTGAGCAGTTTCCTACTGGGAAGGAGATGTATGGGAAGGTTGCACCAAAGATCTTCTTCTCTGTCTCTTCTCTTCTCTGTATATCTGACTGTCCAATAAAAATAAATCATAAATCAGAAAGAAAGAGAGAGAAAGAAAGAAAGAAAGAAAGAAAGAAAGAAAGAAAGAAAGAAAGAAAGAAAGAAAGAAAGAAAGAAAGAAAGAAAGAGAGAAAGAAAGAGAGAAAGAGAGAGGGTATCCAAGCTGTGTGGTACCTAGGTCCTCAGCTGCTACTACAGGGCATCAATTGACTATTGTTCCACCCCAGGTCACAGGTATTGGGAAATTATGCTTCCAAACATGCAGTTATTGTAATGGGACTCCACAAGGCTGCCACCCAACTTGGTTAACGGGCTTATCCTCCACACAGGATCTCAGTCCACTCCTTTGCCTCTGTGTCCTTAAACAATAGCCTGGCACATCCTCAGGGAGAGAGGTTCCCTGGCCAGGGGAGAGGACAGAAGCAGGACCCTGGAATGAGAGTTGTCCAGTCTGCCCCCTCCAGGACAGCCTTGGGATGGCAGGAGAGCAGATCACTGGGAAGAAATTCTGCCCTTCTTTGTATTCACAGGGAGATTCCGGGGGACCCCTTGTGTGCAAAAATGTGGCCCAGGGAATTGTCTCCCATGGAAAACCTCAAGGACCAACTCCACAAGTCTACACCAAAATCTCAAGTTTCCTATCGTGGATTAAGGAAACCATGAGAAGACGCCAACTGCAGGAAGTCGACTGACCCATCTCTGACTCACTTCTAGAACAGAGGGTCCATAGTAACCCTGAGGGCGGGGCCAATAACTGAATAAATGTCTTATCTGAGTGGAAGTCCAGCTTCTTCTTCTTCTTCGGCGTTTGAGTGGTTTTTTTTTTCTTGTTTTCTTGTTTATTTTTGATAAATTTTACATATTTGATTAAGGTGCAACAGGTCAAGGACTAGAGAAAAGAGCGTGAGACCATTGTTTTCACATTCTCTTCTTTCCTTCCTGTATCTGGGGGAAGGTGAGAGATAAAGAGTGAAGCCACACCCAGCCTCTCAATCATCCCAGGGTTCCCAATGTGGGGCACACTCCGAGGGTCCTGCTCAAGTGTTTTATTATTATTATTATCATTATTATTACTTAAACAAGTGGTTTTGATAGTTCAACAGTCCTGTATTGCCGCCAATCTTGCCACTCCAAACACAATGAAATCTCTCCAGACTCCACTGACTGACATAATCCACCTTAGAGCCTCCATTTACCCAGGTATTCACTGCCAACTCTTGGCTGAGGTAGTTGATTGATTTGGGCTGCTGTTCCCTGGGCTAAACCTCCCTGCCAGGCTCCTGAACATCGTCCTTTAGAGTCCAAGGGTCTCCACCTGCAGCAGATACGGGAAACGTGGTTTTTTTCATCAAGCAACAAGCACTCTCTGAGTATTTAGTAGCTGCCAGACACTGGGGACCTGCATGAGTACAGTGACAGACTAATCTGTCTGTCTTAGTACCTGACCCACACACCCACGCCAATGATACCGAAGGTGTTAAGACTTTAATTCCCAAATAAATAAATAAATAAATGGAATTTTAAAAATTAAAAAAAAAAGACTTTAATTCCTCCCTCCATCTTCCAACTGTTCCAACTACTCTAGAATAGAGAAACACATGGGAATTGGAAATGGATTTCATCTTATGGGACAGCCACTGTGGGGAACAAGACAGGCTCCTCAACAAATACAACACATAACTAACCATATGACCCAGCTAGCCACATCTGGGGCTAGAATTGAAATCAATATTTGAAAGAGATATTTGCATTCTAACATTCATTTTGCAGCACTATTCACAATCATTAAGAAATCAATCTGGGAGCCCCTCCCTGGATGAATGGAGAAAGACAGTATGATATGCATACACACACAGAGTGAAATATTATTCAGACATGAGAAAAACAAAGCCCTTACATGTACAGAAGAGATGGAATTAGATAATAATTGAAATAAGTCAGACACAGAGAAAAATATTCTGTTTTCTTTCATATGTGAGAGCTTCATATGCAAAATCTAAAACAATGATTATTAGAGACTAGGAATGGAGACTTCATAACGGGTGGTGATGTGCGGCTGTGGAAGGGAGTGAGTCCTGGTGTTGCACGGAAGAACAGGGTTACTGTAGTCTGTGACAGAGGAAATGGAAGACCTAACTGCCTCATGTGTGGTTCATGCTGTATGCATCTGTTGAAATATGGTGGTATACCTCATAAAATGCGCATGTGCTTCCTGGTAATACAATTGTTTTTAAAGATCTATTTATTTATTTTTAATGTAAAGGTAGATTTACGGAGAGAACAGAAGACAGAAAGAAAGATCTTCCATCTGCTGGTTCACTCTAAATGGCCACAACAGCCAAGCTAAGCTGATTTGAAGCCAGGAGTTTCTTCTTGCACTCTCATGTGGGTAATGGATCCCATGGATGTGGCCATCCTCCACTGCTTTCCCAGGCCACAAGCAAGGGACTGGATGGAAAGTGGAACCTCCAGGACACAAACTGGTATACACAAACAGGATGCCGGCACATGGAGGTAAAAGATTAGCCTGTTGAGCCATAGTGCCAGCCCCAATACAAAATGGCAAAACCAAATTTCAAAAGAAAGTAAGGACACCAGGGCAGTCTTATCTTTATTTCGAAAGTCGCAGATACGGTGCCCGGCATGGTAGCCTAGAGGCTGAAGTGCACACCTTGCATGTGCCCAGATCCCATACAAACCCCGAGTTGTATCCCAGCTGCTCCATTTCCCATTCAGCTCCATGGCTGTGGCCTGAAAAAGCAGCAGAACACAGACCAGTTATGGAACCCTGAACCAGCATGGGAGACCCAGAAGAAGCTCCTAGCTCCTGGCTTCAGATCAGCTCAGCTCCTGCCATTACAGCTACTTGGGGAGTGAACCAGCAAATGGAAAATCTTTCTCCATATCTCTCTTTCTCTCTGTAAATATGACATTCCAATAAAAATAAATAAATACTTCTTTAAAATCACAGGTATTATTGCCTTTGCACAGATGCAGTTGGTAGGAAAATCATCCTCCACTGGACCTAAGCCATGGATGGATGGCCAGCTCCAACTGCCCTGGGAGGCTCGCTAGGACTGGAAAAATGGAGATTCACTGAGTAGTTAGACACCCCTGGTTACAGGTACATTCGTAGTCTCCAAAAGTACAGACTTTCATCTTTACGAAGTTCTTGCCTGGGAGGCCACACATAAACCATGTGAGTTTTTGCTGAGTGAAGGTCTTAGTTTCACCTTGACAAACACTCCCAGCAGCCACTCCTTCAAAGTCTTGTTACTAATGGAATATTGTTCAGTACGTCAGCCTAAGTTCCCATTCTAGATCAATGATTCTCTGTCCCTATTATGCAGAGCTCTACCCTATTGTGGTGTGAACTAAAGTTTCCCTATGGGACCGTGTAACTTTCATGGGGATGCTGCTGCAACCATCATTTTTTTTTCAACTCTGTGTGTGTCCCCCAAATTAGAAGCAGATCTCATAAAGGCAGCAAACTGTTGCAACTTGATTTTTTTTATGATAATAATACAAATACATTCAGTCACCATATGTCTTTTTGGTTGAATAATGTAATCAATTTACATTCAAAGAGACTATGAATAATTAAAGACCTGTCATGGCCATTTTGTCATTTGTTTTCTGGTTGTCTTATGATTTTACATTATTTGTGGACAAATATGATGCATTCTTCCCTGAGCCAGACTTTTCCTAAAGTAAACTGAAATTTCCTAGTTCCTTCACCTGCTTATCCAATGAGTCAGGAATTCATTTCCTACCAAGAATTCTTTCCCCTAAAACATTCCTAGAAGTTCTGTTTGGGTGCTGTTTTGAGACATGGCTTACATGTTCTTTATTTAACTGATGCCCATGTGCATGGGAACAAGAAATCATTACTCTAATCAGAACTAACACAGCAGGTGGAATTCTCACAGGAAAGTGAATCACGCTGGTGGGTACAAATTAAAGCTACTTACACCAGTTCTGACTTCCATTTATGCATTCCTATGTCCTTGAGTAACATAAAGTGCCAGTTACAGAACCATGTCTCAGAATACTCACTTCTAGAGAAGACTTGGTTGCTGTCCCACAAGAGTTGCAGGGTTGCACTGCCATGGCAAGTTCACATACTAATTCTCAACCTTTCAGGTTCAGAGAGCTGATCAGCATGCCAAGATCAAAGTCATATGTTATGTTGGATTCATGTAACACAAGGTTAGAAGCTAAAGGGTAATTTTGCCGTACTTTTTAGTTGAAACTGTTTCACAGGCCTGGACTAACCAAGTTCTCTAGAGGATTGTGTGAAGGTGATTGACACAGGAAATAAAGCTTGACAGCCTGCTGCCTAAAAATCAAGGAATCAGATGCAGAGAGGGTGAATATATGGACTGTTTAACAGCATCAGGCTGAATGCAAGGCTCCATCGTGAAAGAATTCTCTTGTCAATTCATGGGCTACAGTCTGTTCTCTGCGTGCCGTCACTCAGTCTATCCACATTTTAGCAGAAAATGCTAGTGCTCAAGAGAATCTCATCGTTTCCTTTTTTCTTCAAGCACTCCTCATCTTTATCATCTGCAGATTTTCGAAGATAGGTAAACCTAGGGTAAGACAAATATTTTTAAAACCCCACATCTAAGGACATCGTGGTCAAAAGGGCGAACATCAAAGAAAAAGAAAGAACTTAGAAAGCAAACAGAAGAGGGGAAGGCACAAGGCTTCAGCGAAGCCTACAATCACAGTACCAGGTGATACCCACCAGAAATCATCAGAGCCAGAAATGTGAAATGGGCAAAGTGGAATTCCATATCCAGTGAAAACTGTTCAAAAATGAAAGCCTGGTATAGACATTTTTCAAGGAACTGAAGCTGAATAAACTTGTCACTATGAAGTTTGCACTGCAGCAAATAACAAAAGAAACCTTCAGGTTGAAGGGAAATGGTCCTTGCTACAGCAAGCAGAATGGAAAAACAGAAATAAAAGTGTAGCAGAACAAAATGTGACTGAACAGAAAGACTTTGCATACATTTCTCTCGAAATTACTATTTAAGGCAGAAAGTCATACAGGATTTACTATATAAATCGGCATATTATATATGGTATAAACATACAACAAAAATAATATGAAAACATGAAAATACATCATTACAAAGTTCTTATGTGAAGTGTTATGACATTAATTCAAAATAGACACATTATGTGAGGCAGGGGCATTGCCATCTCAGAGCAACCACTGAAATCATTTCTGGAGTTTCAACTGAAAGGTAAAACAGAAAAAGCATAGAACAGCTACAGAAAAAGGCAGTAAAAGACAAAGGATTAAATATATGTATTTATTCCAATTCAGGCCTATCTGAAGTTGCATTGAATGCAAACAGGTAAAACACTTCAATTAAAGGGCAAAGATCACCAGCTTGGATGAAAATATACAAGAGCCAGTTCTGTACTGCCCGCACAAGCACAAGGACAGGAACAAGGCAAGAGTAAAATCATGAACAGAAAAATATATAAACCCTGAAACAAGCACTCAAAGAAAAGCTACCCTGTTCATGAAGTGTGCTGCTAAACTTTTAAATTGTTGGTACTTGTAAAATGAGATAGTTTGTCAGAAAATCTTTCATTTCTGTTTTTTCCCACTTTTCATTTATCATTTCTCCTAACATGAGTAATGTAGAGATATTATCATTTACTTATTCAGAATATGCAAAGATACTTTGCTCAGCAAATGTTACAGGCTCTCAGAAGCATAGCTTTCTGGACAGTGGTTTGACTCTGCTTGAAATCCCTG